AATTGAGATAATATCAAAAGATTGGTTTTACAAATTCAGTGTCTATTGTTGTTTGTCTTTTCCTTAGTTAAAGATAATATAGATAGCTTAAAGTGTTTAAATTTTATGATTTGATTCTCATGAGTCATCTAAAGCAAGATGTTAAGTTGTTAAAATATATTTAAGTTGGCTATAATTAAAAGGTTAGGCTTTCTAAAACAATAAAGTTTTCTGAACATATTGAAATGCTCTTCATTAAACTTACAAAACTAGCAATAAGTTCTGTATTTTACTAAAATAAGTTTCTTGTGTTCTTGTTGTTAGGATTTAGGTTACTGAAAAGTGAACTTTAAGAGTTAAACAGTATTTGAATGTTAACCTACAAAATGTTTTCAGTAATCAGCTCACAATTGGTTAAATAAACAACTGTTATCTTAGTTTATGACATAACATATTTTGGGGCATATATGTATGTATACATCTAAAAACAAGCTATGCTGTGAGTGTAAGCTTTAAAGTTACGTTTATAGAGTTAAGACTATATAAATTTATGGGGCCGGGGATTTAGCTCAGTGGTTCCACCACCTGCCTCACAAGCGCAAGGACCCGAGTTCGATCCCCGGTACCAAAAAAAAAACAAAAAAAAAGACTATATAAATTTAATAAATATAAAGTAACCAATAGGTACTCTGTTTAGGCCTCAAACATATAAAATGATCAAAATCTGACATCTCTTTAAATTTGATCCTGACATTTAAACTTGATCTTCATCTATTGGCTTTGATTAAACAAGCATTTTTTTTGTTACTATATAAATGAGATACACTTGTATGTTGGCTAATAAGTCTATTTATTTTCAGTCATTAACACTGTTTCCTGAACTTATCAGAGCTGTAAAGATATCCTTTATTCTTGTTGATACAATTACACCTTATAAAATCTGTTAAAGGAGTCTGTCTCAGTTGCTTTTCTCTCATTGCTGAGACAAAACGCCCAACACCCAAAGTTAAAGGGGAAAAGGTTTATTTAGCTCACATTTTGAAAAGGTTTCAGTGCATAGTCAGCTGACTTCAAGGGAGGGTGGCTCGGCAGAGGGGCATCGCAGAGGAGAAGTTCATGGTAAGGAGAAGACAGCAAAAGCGAGCAAGCAAGGGACCTTACCAGTGTCTCTCTGCCCCTTTTACCCTATCCAGGCTGCTTAGGGCGGGCAGCACTCACACCCTTAACCCTAGTGCCCTTCAGCCTAGCACTGCACCGTGAATCGATTCCAGCGTCACATACTCTAGATCCAGCCAATTCTGAAAGAGCCCCACCTGTGACCGCAGGGGGCTTTGGGGGACATCCAGACACAAACCGTAACAGAGCCTAAAATCTGTCTTAAGAGCAGAAACTAAATATGTAAGGGTTCCATAGACCTGTGATGCCAATCATTGCTAACTTTATGGTATATTTGTGTCTCCCAAGTATACAGGTCTCCAAAGGTGCAGAACTGTAAAACATCATACTGGTGACCTCTAGGTTAAAGTTTTATGGTGGTAAAACTTCTTAGGCTCAAACACCTGGCAACCCTTTACTTGTGTTCCCACTACCTTTGATGAACTGCACCTACCAGTCCGATATGAGACAGCCAACCAGATGATGTGGATATGTTTTCTGGTCTGTGCTTTTGTGATTGTTATGTAATTGTGTTATAACAGTTAGAGGTACTCAAACACTGCAGTCCAGACAATATCACTGTAACGATTAGAGATTAGGCATTAATAATTGGTAAAGTACATCTATAAACAGGTACATTCTACTCAAATTTCACTATAGTAACAGAGCATTTAAAAGGTAATAATTAGGTAAAACTTTCTTTGTGTAATTTAATATTTTGGGGGCTTTTTGGGGGAGGGTGAGACAGGGTCTTGCTATGTAGTTCAGGCTGGCCTTCAACTCACTATATAGTCCAGGCTGTTCTAGAATTTATGGCAATCCTCCTGCCTCAGCCTCCCAAGTGCTGGGATTATGGGCATGCACCACCATGCCTGGCTAATATTTTGTAATTAGTTAAAGACCACTGACCAAAAAGTTATTCTAGGGCTGGGGATATAGCTTAGTGGTGCTGTGCCTGCCTGGCAAGCATAAGGTCCTGAGTTTGATCCTCGGTACCAAAAAAAAAGTAATTCTATACTAAGATGAACAGCTAAATGTGTTTCAGAGATAATGACAAAACTTAATGGTTCTAGTAATGTTGTCATGATTGTCATGCTAAAGTGCTATGTTTCCCTTGATCTCAAACCTTCTCTGTAAAGCTTTATCCGTTAGCATTCTGCAAGAATTTGACTTCTAAAATAATCATGATTGGTGAAGAAATAACACTTTCCTGGTCATATTATATATTTCAACCATTCTCCTGGGTATTCAACAATTTAGGTTTGGAACCAGAGCTAGAAAAATAAGTGAGCTAAGGGGACAGCCCATATATTGGCTCTGGCCCTCCAAGGTCAACAAGGACCCAGGACATGAGTGGACTTCTCTACGAGATGCTACAATTCTGGTGAGTCACTCAGCCTCCTGAGCAGGGAGATTGTCGGACCCCTAGAGGACAGGTGTCAACCAGTGTACAGTGTGCTAAAAAGGAAGGTCACCAAAGAGAGAAAAGTCTCCCTGCTTTTATAGAAAGCTACATGGTCAAGCAAGACTGACCCATCTGGGTGGCTGACACTGACAGAGGAACTGAGAGGATGTACACATGGTTCCAAAAGTAATGTTTGAAGAGACTTAACTGACTTCCATAGATAGCAAAAGGTTAATTTTTATTATTACAGGTCTTGCTTTAACTTGGTTTTAAACACCCAGCAGAAAAGTATGACCAAAGGATGTATAAAAATAATACCATAGAGAGGGTGGAGATTTAGCTCAGTGGTTCCACCGCCTGCCCCGCAAGTGCAAGAACCTGAGTTCGATCCCTGGTACCAAAAAAACCCCAAAAACATAGTAATAAAGGATAGATACAGAAGGGGCGCTCCAATCACTGACCCCTGCTGGCAGTTTCCAACTACACTTGTAGCTGACCATTGTTATAGTTCAGTGAGGCTAGAAAACTACAATGGAAGCTGTAAAAGTTCAGCAAGAGCCGGGGATTTAGCTCAGTGGTTCCTCTGCCTGCCTCGCAAGCATAAGGTCCTGAGTTTGATCCCCAGTACCAAAAAAAAAAGTTCAGCAAGGATCTTCAGATTCCTCACTAAAATTGTCCTTCAAAACTACCGACCTCTCCATCTTCTTACATCTAAAATTGGAGGGACTTATGCACTAATAAGTGAGATTTGTTGCCTTTAGGTAAATAATTCAGATCTGTTGAAAAAAATCATAAAAGAAATATCAGACTTGGGGCCGGGGATTTAGCTCAGTGGTTTTGCTGCCTGCTGCACAAGCACAAGGACCCGAGTTTAATCCCCAGTACCAAAAAAAAAAAAAAAAGAAAAGAAAAAAGAAATGTCAGACTTATAGATAACCTCCATCAGTAGAGAGGTCTAGGACACAGCTGATTAGAATCTCTATTCCAGTCCTTCACAGCAGTGTTTGGATGTGGCTCTTTCCCCAACCTAACTTTCCATACTAGTGCTCATGCTTTGATTGTATATGGTTTCATCTCTTGGAAACAATTGTTTATTATCAACTAGAGGCTGCCAAACTCCGAGTGATCATGGAGATAGAACCAACGACAAATGTGCCAGACTCTGTTTACTGGAACCCACTAGATTGATGATGTCAAGGCAATTTATAACTGCTATACCACAACATGATTTCTATCCAAGGCCCATTAGATTAGCTTTCTGGAGAAGGTCCCTGACTGTGGTCTTCCCTACACCGACTTTTCTCACATTGAAGCAGCTAGATTGAAACTATGCCCTTTCTTCCTTATCCACAGTTAGGGATAGCTCCTCAGAGGGGGGAATATTGTAGGCAGCTAAGTTAGACAGAAGTTAATATATAAGCAGAGAGAGACAGACTGTGTTCTCAAGGAAGTCAATCAAAAATAAAGACATCAGAATTGTAGCTGAAAGCTCTTGTGAAGAAGGTGAATCCTCAAGATAAAGTCACAATGGCCAGATTTGTGTACTTCCCTAAGGGAGAAGCGGAACTGTAATTAATATCACCCAGTTCATTAAGTCCTGATGTGCATCAGACACCCAGGGTAGGTGACCAGAGCACCTGGACCCATCCCTTCCCAAAATGTTCTTGTGTTTGAAGTCACAGATAAGCCAAGGTTAATGATGTCAGTCATATACCTTTGCTACATGCCCAGCTTCCCTATAGGATCAATATTAGCTAAGCAGCTTTACTTGTGATCTTATTGGTTGATTATAGTTTGACCCACCTTTTACCCACATTTGCTGTATACATTACCCCTGACCAAGGCCTCATTGGCAATCCACTTCCTGTCCCTCAGGAGCTATCTTTCAATCAACCTTTCCTACTGGTAACCTCTGTTGTTCCTTGGAATTCATTCTTTGGTTTCTGGGAGTATGAACTCGGCACATCTGACATCTAGCAGGTTGGGAGTTATATTTCTTCTATATCTATACGCTGGGAATGGGGTGAATCTGTGTCCAGGACAGTGTGGGGCAGGACAGAGCCAGATGGCTGGGAGATTTCATTTTAGAATACAATAAAATTTATGAATGGCGTCCTTAAGTATGTATGTATTTATGTGTGTATGTATTGATTGATGCAGGATCTCGCTATGTAGCCCAGGCAGGCCTCAGACTCGCGGCGATCCTCCTGCCTTAGGTTCCCAGAGTGCTGGGGATAGCAAGCGAGCGCCTTTCAAGCCTTGTGAGGGAGGAAGCTGGGCTCAGGAGCGCTTGCCTCCTGCTGTCAGCAAGGAGAGAACTACGTTATCCAGAAAGCCCCGCGCGTGCGCGTTGGCCACAGGCGCTGGGCCAATGATGGCCCAGGATGGGGGCGTTTCCGGCGCGTCGCGGATCTGGGGCGGGACTTCCTGCCTGTTGTTGGTGACGCCAATTGGACGCGTCGGTTCCGTCCACGCCCGCCCTGACAAGTGTAGGGGTGTCCTGTGGTCTAGTCCGAGAGCGCTTTTCCGAGAGAAGCGCGAAGCAGGCCAAGTCGCACCTCTGCGCGCCGGGCCGAGCCGTGAGCTTGGCGCGTCTGTCCGCCGGGGTCACCCGCCGGGGCCAGGGAGCCTGTGGGAGTCGCCGGTCCCTCGGTCCTCGCTGTCCGCGATGGCGGCGGCACTGGTGGACCCGGCGCAGGTGAGTGGACGAGGGTTCTGGCTCCCCGCTCCTCTGCTAGATGGAGGGGCTGAGGCCAAGACGGTCACAGGTTTCTTTTTGTTCGTGTTTATTTAGGAAAAGTGGAGCAGGCGCCTCACTCAGTTTGTCTCCAGCCTCAGCACACGGGGAGCTGGATACACAGACAGTAGGCAGACCGTGCTTAAAAATAGGACCTGCAGCCACAGTCTGTACCAGCCTGCCCAGTTTTCTGGCCAGAGGCCCCCTTTGATACAATAGGCACTTCTGGAAGTCAGCCTGCTCTAAGTCATGCTTGTAGAAAGCAGATTACCATCTCTTGTGACAGTCCCCGAAGCCAATAACTTCTGTAACAGGCAGCTCCATACGGCCAGGATTTGATTAATAACCGGCTGCCCTCGTTTTTGTTTCTGCTTCTAATGTAAGTTCAACCAGAGAAAGCCAGTTACACACCTCTCACTAATCAGGTAGGTTGCTTCTTTACTGGTTTCCCTTACTACAGCTTCCCCGTACCAACAGTGCCAGGCCTGCCTATGGGGGCTTAACTGGTTGAAAGAAAAATGAGGCTGCAGGCCCTGGTCTCCCATCACATGGCTAATCCAGACTCCACACTTCTGCACATCCCTGCTCATCTGCTGTGGCTAACCGCTGTGATCTCATCTTTCCTTCCCTCTTCCCTGGCTCACAGCTATTTAGGGACACCTGCCCGACTCTGCAATGTTCTATTCGCTCTCCCAGCCTTTGCCCTTGTAGCTCACTCTGCCTAGCACTGTCCTGAGATCTCTTTGAGACCAACCTTTGCATTTTTGGGAGGTTCTGCTCACATGTCACTTCTTTGGAGAGGCTGTTCCTGGCAGTTTAGGCTAAAGTGGGCCTTTTTGTGTGTGTGTAGATAATCTAGCCCAACTTTTAAATGCTGCTAAGTTGAGGTTTTTCAGGATGTTTTGGAATAAAAAGCATAAGTGGTAAAACAAGACCCCGTAATAACTGACTTTGACTCTTCCATGTGAGCGTTATTCATCACCTCATTTAATTTTGATACCTGAGACTTAGGTTCTGTTATTACCTCTATTTTACACCAGAATGGTACAGACTGACATGTCTTAACTCTCCAGTGTCATTCAGCGCTGAAGTAGAAGTGACCCTTTGTATGTGGACTATCAGAGCTTTTTTTTTTTTTTTTGCACTACCAGGGATTGAACCCAAGACCTTGTGCTTGCTAGGCATGCGCCCTGCCATTGAGCTACAGTCCCAGCCCTTAAGCCTTTGTTTTTACAGCCAGTGGCTGGGAAGCTGTTCAAGAGATACCTGAAGAAAGCTTGGCAAGGTGAGCAGGTGAGGAGGGCTCCTTCAGCAAAGAGCTGCCTTGGTCATTAGGGAGCGGAGCAGACAGAACTGGATAAAGGTGAGGTGTATTGGTTATTTAAGGAGGGCTGAGAGGGCCTGTGAGGCTGCATGGCTCTCCTCCAACACCCTTGAGATTTTTCCTGGAAAGGCAAGATCGCATGGTGTTTGGCTGGATGTTCCTTCCACCTTTCACTGTACAGCACTGTGACCAGGAAAAGCCTGTGTTTTCATGACCACAAACAGCGTTCCCTCAGCCATGTGAAATTTCTGGTCTGGAAGTACACTGGTTTCAAGGCTATCGGCTGACAGTGCTTGGTGGGAGGAGGGAAAGGCTCATGGTTCCTTGTGCAGACTTCCTAGAAGTATGTAAAACCTAGGGAGGTAGACGGAGAGAATGAGCTGTCCCAGGCCCTGGCACTCCCCAGGGCTTTGGCATCCCATGGGAACTTCTCTATAAGTTTGGTGATTAGGACTCTGCACACATCAGAGGTATTTGGAGGAGCTGCTGAAACAGACTGACTGATTAAAAATTGGTAGAAATGGCTCATGAATTTCCCACTGTAGATTTATATTGATGGTAGAAGATGATTGGTGTTACCTTTAAAATCTGGGCAGCAATCCTGTCTCTAAGGATAAGATGTGAGACTGGTTGAATTTGGGAAGGTCTTCTGGCCTCAGGTCACTGTGACATAGATTTGACTGATGGTGGTGTTAACCTCAGAAGCTGGGAAAGGATCAACGAAAGTCCTAAAGCCCATGAAGCAGGAAATATTTTCTCCCTGTGTAATGAATATTATTGACAATGTGGGAATTGCCGTGTTAATCTGGAAGTCAAGGCTCAGGGGTGAAGTGAGGTTGCAAAGGTTGCACAGCCATCAAGTGTCTGTGTTTTAGGAGTTTGGATTCTGATTCCAAGAGTCTCACTTAGATCTGTGGATGTGTAGTCACTAACACAGAAGGTGAAGCCCTCAGCCTGGGGCAGGCACCGGGCTGGACCCGTGAGGCTCAGGTATTGCTGCTGTCATTGGAATCGTCATTGTCACTGATTTTCTCTCATTCCTCTAATGTCTGGAGCCCTGACTGTCCATCTCACAGCCCAGTTTCCTTTGCCGAATTATCTGATGGCTCCCGCACAGAAGGGCTATCTCCTTTGCACTGCTGCCTTCTGTCCACATCCCCATCTCTTGCCCCCTTGAGCTCAGCGCAGAACGTGGCCCTCAGGAAGTGTGGTGTCAGCAGGGCTGTGCTGTCTCTCTGCTGTTTCCAGCCAACCATGTAAGACAGCCCATAACTTCTAATTGACCCTCCAGGTGCCTGTGACCTTCGAGGATGTGGCCGTGACCTTCACCCAGGAGGAGTGGGGGCAGCTGGACCTGGCTCAGAGGGCCTTGTACCAGGAGGTGATGCTGGAGAACTGTGGGCTCCTGGTCTCACTGGGTAAGGCCACCTCCTCCTCAGTGCAGTGGACGTGGCTGCAGGCTTGGCTGGTCACGAAGACTGCTGGATCCTGCCCTGCTGCTGCTCACAGCTTCAGTCACTCCCCTCTGCCTACACTCCCCTCTGCCAGGCTGGTCCTCCTGTGTCTCTGGGCGGGAAACAGTGCCAGTTGGCTCCCAGGATGCTGTGGAGAGGGAAGGAGTGGAGGAAACCAGAGGCAAGATTTCTGGGCAGGCCCCATGAGGGACTGAGAACCACTCCAATTACAGCCTGACTTCTACATGGGCCTGCTTACTCCACTGTCTACAAAGAATGGCTTTTACTGCTTTAGCAAGACTGCAGTGTGCATGTCACCCGAGTCCTTGCTCTTAGTGGGTCAGGTTCCTGGTCTGTACTTTTCTGCATGTTTCTGTTTTCCTTTCTCTGCACCTGACCTCTGTGAGACATTTTGAGGATACAAATGACACCCCAAAGCTCACACTTCCTTCCAAGTCTCAGCTGGTGCCCAGCATAGGCTGCTCTCTGCCAGAGGTTCTTAGATCAGCATCTTGTTCCTGCCTGGACTTGCACCTTCTGGGCAGTGTTGGGAAGTTCTGTGGTTGAACAGAAGAGCAGAGATGGCCGAACCTGGGTCTCTGATTGGCTCAGCTGTTCTGTCCTGTACTCTGCTCAGCCTGAGCCTTGGTTGTTCCCTGTGAAACGGTGCTGATCACCACAGGACTCCCTGGAGTGCTGTGAGAACATTCTGATACAGAGTCCCTTAGTCTGTAACCTGCAAAAGAGCACTGTAAAACTTGGCTTGGATCTCAGCAGAGATGTAGGCCAATGTAGGTGTGCCCTCCTGTGGACTCTGTAGACAGTCTGTGTGCTGGAGTCCTGGTCCTCAGCCTGGTGAGCTGAGGTGTAGGACCTTTAAGAGGCATTGCTGGGCCCAGGGATTTAGCTCAGTGGTTCGGGTGCCTGCCTCGCAAGCCAGGGTCCCGAGTTTGATCCCTGGTACCAAAAAACAAACAAACAAAAACAAAATAAGAGGCATTGCTTAGTGCAAGGTGGTTAGATCATTGGGGTGTGGGTCTTCCCAGATGTACTTCTCAGTGGAGTTCTCATGGTACCCAGTGAGTTCCTGTGAGACCAGGTAGTTGTGTCAAATCCTGGCCCTTCTCACTCTGGCTTCTGTCTCATATGATCCCTCTCTCACCTCTCTTCACCACGTTATCTACTTTGAGGCCTAACATACAGTGGGTTACCCTATCTGAGACTTTCAGTCCCCAAGTCTATGTAAACCTGTTTTCTTTCTTTCTTTGAACCTAGGGGTGCTCTGCCACTGAGCCCTCTTTAAATTTTTTATCTTAAGACAGGGTCGTGTTAAGTTGCCCAGGCTGGGGTTGAACTTGCAGTTATCTTGCCTCAGCTTCCTAATAGCTAAGATTGTAGGCCTGTGCCACTATGCCTAGCAATATTGTTCAGTTTTGGAGTGGTACATTGGAGTTGTTGCTTGTTCCACTGAGAGCTCCACCGAGATGGGTTATCCCCCATCAGTACTAATTTCTGATTTACTGTTTGGAGTAAGTTTCTGTGGCAGCATGACACGGCGAGCCCTTGGCTTCCAGGTCACGAGGTAGAAGGTTTGTGTTGCTTCATTCCCAGGTCTGGTCTCCTAAAGGCCCAGATGACTGAGATTCTTTATCTCTTGTCTTTTTGTTTGTCCTGGGGAATGAACTCAGCACCTTTGCACTGAGGTACATCTCCAGCTTTTCTTTAAAACTGGAGGCCCTGGTACCAAAAAAAAAGAAAAAGAAAACTAGGAGGAGAGGGGAAGGAAGGAAAAAGTGATTAAATGGAAACGGAACTTTTGCAAATAGGGAGGGGAAGAAGGACTGGAGGGAGGGGAAGGGGACCAAAAAAAAGAATTAAGATGTGTTATGTGTTACAAGTTCCCCGTGATGAATATGATCATTATGTACTACAAACATGTACAAAAAACTGAAAAATAAAAGTGTATAACATTAAAAAAGTAAAAACCTAACTATTAAAAGATTTTTTTTTAGGCTGGGCATGGTGGCACATACCTGTAATCCCAGCCCTCAGAGGCTGAGGCAGGAGGATTGCTGTGAGTTCAAGGCCAGCCTGGGCTATGTAGTAAGTTCAGTGACAGCCAGAACTGGATAGCAAGGCCCTGTCTCAAAAAAAAAGATTGTAAATTTTCAGACAGGGCCCTACTGAGTACCTAAATTGGTCAGCCTGGGCTCAAAGTGTGATCCTCCTGCTTCAGCCTTCCAGACTGTTAAGGTTAAGCTGGCATTATGGGTGTGCCCCACTACATCTAGCTGCTTTATCTCTTTTTCCCAAAACCCACGCATCCACATTTTTTTCTCCCTGACCAGGGTGTCCTGTTCCCACACCTGAGCTGATCCAGCAGCTAAAGCACAGGCAGCAGCCGTGGACAGCGAGGCTGGTCTGTGCCCAAAGCACACAGTCAGGTAAGAGCCAGGGTGGGGATGGGAGACCACGGCCTGGAGCCTTGGGATTGGTTTTTCTTATTTTTGTTTTTTTTTGTTTGTTTGTTTTTGAGATGGGGAGTGCTGAGAATTGAACCCGGGGCCTTCATCCTGAGCCACTTTGAGACAGGGTCTCTCTGTGTCGAAAAGTTGCCCAGGCTGGGCTTGAATTTTCGATCCTCCTGCCTCAGCCCTCCAGAGTGCTGGGATGACAGTCGTGCACCCCCACGCCCATCTGGGGACTGTTCGTATTGTGGGCCTGTGGGGATATTGGAGCCTTGGAGCCCTTTGTCCTGTGGCTCCTCTGACCTCCCAGCCCCAGCACACTTGTCCCTGCTCCTGGGGAGGGGCAGGTTCATGAGCTGGCTGTCTCTGGGTGCTCCTACCAAACTCCAGAATCCTAGTAGTTCAGCATAAATAATTAAATGATATGATAAATAAGTTGAATTTTTAAAAACTTATTACAATAAAAGATACAAAAGGAAAGAAGGGAAAGGAAAAAATATGAGAAAAGGAAAAAATGGAAACAAAGTCTTTGTAAATAGGGAGGGGTAGAGGGGTTGAAGGGAGGGCAGGGAAAGTGGGAAAAAATAACCAAAATGCATCATATAAAGGTACAAGTTCCCAGTGATGAATATAAATGTATACCTAAAATGTACCGATAAAAGAATTTAAGAATAAAAAATAAATATAATAAAAGATACATTGCCATGAGTTCCTCTCAAAATCTTCTTTACTTTAAACACACTAGTCCCAAGGTTCTTGCCACTTTCTGAAGCAATTCTGGAAGTCCTCTTTCCTGAGTGTCTAGTTGCGCTATTATGGCTGCTTTAGTGTCCTTAAGTGATTCAAAACATTTGCTTTTCACCATCATTTAGACTTTGGGGAAAAGGCAAAGGTGGTATGGTGCCAGATCTGGTGAGTGAGGTGGATGCGGTTACATTATGTTTTTATGAGCCTGCCTTTCTGTTGGCTGGCATTCAGCAGCAGCATTCACTGTATTTTTCATCTTACCTTGTAAAGACATGAAAGAAGACTTCCAGAACTGCTTTAGAAAGAAGCTAGAATGGTGAGAAAAGTGTTTGAAGTGTGTGTGTGTGGGGGGGCTATTTTTAAGGGGATTAAGAGCAATGTGTCTTTTAATACAATAAATATTGAGATTTTTATTATAAGCATTCATTATACTTTTCACTCACATCTTGTATATTTCTCAGTCATACCAAAAGTTTGTGGGGGCATTGGGGAGCTCTGTGCCATACGGTTAAATCATGGACCCAGGGACCTTCTAACATCAAGCTGTTGCTTTAAGATTGTCCTGACTTCTTTCCAGCTGGCACTGAATTGAAAGGAGCGGACATCACACCCATACCTAGGAACACCAGTTCCCCTCATGTTCCTCACCCAGGACTAGTCCTTGGCCACACTTGTGTCCACAGGGTTTGGATATGTGGCCCAGCTGTACAGGGAGAACAGGAGTTTTCCTAGTGGGGGAGGCTTTCTCCCCCTGGCTGTTTGCAATATCTATACCCAAATTCAGATGTGATTTCATCCCATTCCGCGTAAAAATGCACTCACTTTCCTTACACTTCCAGAAAACAACAGGTAAGTAAGTGCCTGTGCTGAGATTTCGTGAATCCATTTGCTTTCTGAGCATCTCACTGTTAAAGTGTTTCCATGTTCATTAGCAGTGATGCTGTCAGTTCCAGCATCACTTTCCACATATGTAGGGTGTTTTTTTAATGTTTCTGGGATTCAAATGATTGAGTTATAGACTGTGAAGGTAGACATTTATAGGATTATTCCTGTTGTTTTCCAGAGAGCTTATACCAGCTTATATTCTACCAGAGAAGAATTGACGATTCCATGGATCCGTTTCCTATCCCATTCTTGGTAGTGTAAGGCTTCTCAATTTCTGCCAATCAAATGGACACAACATAATATTTCACATGCTCTTGATTTTCATTTTACACATTGCTGTGGGGGTTTAGTGACTTACGTGATTTTTTAACCAATCTTTATTTTCTTCTGTGAAATGTCATTTCAGATAAATGCCTATTTTTCTTTGTTTTCGTTTCTCATGTTGTTTTGTAAGAGTTCTTTCTATATTCTGGTACTTCTTGTTGTTGTTCTGGTGTTGCTTTTGTACTCTAGGCCTTGGACATGCTAGCCCAGGGCTTCCTGGGTTCCTCACCCCCAACTCACATTCCTGATGCCTGTGCCAGTTATGAGTGCTGCTGGTGTATTTGGTTCCATGTGTATGTGGGTTCTGAGCTCCTGTTTTTCCTTTGCCTTGTCTCTGTCCCATCCCACTTGCCTTGTGAGCCCTGTCCTGGGAGAGGCAGTGCTCAGCTCCACTGTCACCTGCATCAGCATCTTGGAACCAGCCTTCTCTCTCTACGGGCTTCTCACCAGCACTGTACTGTGCAATTGTTTTATACATTCTGTCTTTTTGGCTACAGTACCCTTCTCTTTTTCCCTTTATGGCAACTCTTTTACAGCCTGTAGGGCTTTCTTTTGTTTTTGGTACCAAGGATTGAACTTGGGTCTTTGCACTTGCAAAGCAGGCGGCAGAACCGCTGAGCTAAATCCCCGGCCCTAGGGCTCCCTTTTTTGGATACCTGCAATTGAAAAATCCCTGATCTCTTCCCACCCAGGATTAGGCAAACTCAAGGTTAAGAACAGGGTCCTTCAAGATTGCCAACTCTGTCCAACTCCTCCGATGCCAACCACAAATTCATGATTTCCCCAAACCACCTCAGGGTCACTAATTTGCTAAAAAGACTCACCAAACTCTTTTAAGACCTATTGAGTCAGTCACGTGTGTTACAGAGTCTGTATTAGAAGAGATGCCAGATGTGGGGCAGGTGACCCAGGCATGACATTTCCATGTCTTTGGGGAATTGTTACTCATCTGGTATCCAGGAATATTAAGTGTGCACCTGGAGTGTCCTGAGCCAGGAAGGTCAGGAGAGCTTCAGTGGGCAGTTTCACTGTGTGTCGTTACACACACACAACTCAATCATTGCCTTGTGACTCCGTCTCCAGTCCCTGTGCCATTTCCATAGAGCTACTATTTTCAGCTTCTTCTTTTTTTCAATAAAGTAGTACTTTTGTTTCTTCTGGGTTGCCATTACTAACAGCCCTACTGTGTCTTGAATTTCTTTCAGATGACAGTGGAAAAACCAAAGCCACAGAATCCACCACGTCTGAGCCAGCCTTGTGTGAGGGAGCCGGGCTTCAGGGGCATTTGTCGAGTGGAGCCTCCCGGGGCTCCCCATGGATGCAAGCTCTGTGTCAGGGCCGCCCGCCAGACAGGCAGGAAGGATGTTGGAGATCAGGGGGTCAAGCCCTGAGGGAGAAGCTTCCCAGGAGCTCGAGCGCTGGCCCTGGTGGCTTAGGGACCGAAGATAGAGTGCATCTGAGGGCTGTGCAGGAGCAGGTTCCTGCAGGAGATGCAGGAGATGTGCCACCCTGTGCAGCACACAGCCCCAGGGGAGATGCCGTGACCAGGGAGCAAGAGGAAAACATCTTCCGGTGTGGCGAGTGCGGGAAGGTGTTTAACAAGAAACGCCTTCTTGCTCGACACGAGAGGATCCACTCTGGCGTGAAGCCCTACGAGTGCGTCGAGTGTGGGAAGACCTTCAGCAAGAGCACCTACCTCCTTCAGCACCACATGGTCCACACCGGGGAGAAGCCGTATAAGTGCATGGAGTGTGGCAAGGCCTTCAGCCGAAAGTCACACCTTACGCAGCACCAGCGCATCCACAGTGGAGAGAAGCCTTATAAATGCAGTGAGTGTGGAAAGGCCTTCACCCACCGCTCCACATTTGTCTTGCATAACAGGAGCCACACTGGAGAGAAGCCTTTTGTGTGCAAAGAGTGTGGCAAAGCCTTTCGAGATAGGCCGGGGTTCATTCGACACTACATCATCCACAGTGGAGAGAACCCCTATGAGTGCTTCGAGTGTGGGAAGGTCTTCAAGCACAGGTCGTACCTCATGTGGCACCAGCAGACCCACACGGGTGAGAAGCCCTACGAGTGCAGCGAGTGTGGGAAAGCATTTTGTGAGAGCGCGGCCCTCATCCACCACTACGTCATCCACACCGGGGAGAAGCCCTTCGAGTGCCCGGAGTGCGGCAAGGCCTTCAACCACAGGTCCTACCTCAAGAGGCACCAGCGCATCCACACTGGGGAGAAGCCCTACGTGTGTGGCGAGTGCGGGAAGGCCTTCACCCACTGCTCCACCTTCATCTTGCACAAAAGGGCCCACACTGGAGAAAAGCCCTTCGAGTGCAAAGAGTGTGGGAAAGCCTTCAGCAACCGGGCAGACCTCATCCGCCACTTCAGCATCCACACAGGAGAGAAGCCCTACGAGTGCACGGACTGCGGCAAGGCCTTCAACCGCAGGTCAGGCCTCACCAGGCACCAGAGAATTCACAGTGGCGAGAAGCCCTATGAATGTGTCGAGTGTGGGAAGACCTTTTGCTGGAGCACAAATCTCATCCGCCACTCCATCATCCACACAGGAGAGAAGCCCTATGAATGCAATGAATGCGGAAAGGCCTTCAGCCGAAGCTCCTCACTCACACATCATCAAAGGATGCACACGGGGAGAAACCCAGCCAGTGCTGGAGAGGAGGGACGGCCTTTCACAAGTGCACAAGCCTCTGTCAACATCCAAGAACTTCTACTGGGAAATGACTTCTTGAATGTAACCAGTGAAGAAAATCTTTTACGGGAGGAAACATCTTACACGGCATCTGACCGTTCATACCAAAGAGAAAGCCCCCAGATGTCTTCACTATGAGGAAACCCTTTGTGGAGTGTTGTTGCCATCTGAACACTCATGCTAGAAATGGACCCAACTTGGAACATTATGCTTTATCTGAGATTTCATCCAGGAGAGAGACCCAGTGGTTATTTTGCACTGAGGAAAATCTTTAGCTACATTTTCCTCCACAGTTTACAGTGCAGTGTTATCTCAGGAATTTTTATTAAAAGGAAGTGACAGAAGAGACAATGAAATGCAAGCAATGCTTCTTTCACACTACCCTATAAAGTCTGTGGCACTTGTTCATTCTTATTCGGGTGGGGAGGGTTGGTTTAAGAGGTAACAGACCTTGACCCTTTGTTTGTATTGTGTATATGTTCATTGCTGTCCAGTGATAAAAGAGTTAGAATGTTGAGAGCAAGTGTAGAAATGTACTGAATATCTTCTTTGTTCTACCTTGTTGTTTTTGTGCACCATAGGTTTTTATGAGAAATATGAAGACTTGAATAATGAAATCCTTTTATATTTAAAGCGAGAAGGCAAAACAGGTGGATGTATGTGATGTTGGGAAATTGAATCCAAGATCATGAGCATGTTAAGCATGTGCTATACCACTGCACTACACCTGCAGCCCCAGAAAATATAAGTGAATGGGCACTTTTTTAGGTACCACTTAAGACTGTTTAAGTCTTTGATTTTAAAAATTAAGAGTCTTGGGTGGTTTTAAACACCAGTCAGAATTTTTCTTGATCCCCAACTGTTGGTTTACTTGATTGCTATAGCTATACAGTCAATGTTAAGATTGAGTCAAGTGACTCTTTTTTATTTGTATTTAAAAATGATTAACACTCATATTTTTTTCATTTGCCGTATACACTAGGTTTAGGTTTTGTGCTTTTATAATGAAATCTGGCTCAGATGTTGCGTTAAATCGGTGTATCAGTTTGTTGAGAATTGGTTTTCTTTCTGTGATGAGTCTTCCAATTCACGAACATGGTACATCTCTACATTTAAGTATTCCTTGATTTATTCCATTACTGTTTTATAATGTACAGCATAAGCACCTTTTGGTATCCTCCAACTTTAATGAAGTTACTATTTCTAGCCATTTTTTTGTTGTTCTTATTAGAGAATCCTCGGGATTTTAAACATAGACATATCATCTGCAAAAGTTTTATTTCTTCTTTGCATCTGTATACCTTTTACAGACACTCCCCATTTAACGGCTGAGTTCCATCCCTGCGACTAGTCAGAAATGAATTGGTCTCTAAACCTACAGTATTGTATCATACAGTACAATCAGTAAAAGTCACAGCACTATATAAACAAGGCATACTGTCACAAAGAAGACATTGAGAGGGCCGGGGATTTGGCCCTGCTTCTGCCTCCTGCCTTGCAAGCGCAGGGACTTGAGTTCAATACCCAGCACCAAAAAAAGGAGAAGACATTGAGACTCTGTGAACAAGATGCATAGAACTGTAGGAAAGACACAGGGGCCTGAGTCCGAGCGGCAGTCATTGGACAGGCAGGTCGTTAAACGACGAATGTCTGTCTCTTTTTTTTGTTAGCACCCTAATTAGGTTTTCCAGTGTGATGTTAAATAGGATTAGTGAGAACTCATCCATATTTGGTTTATGATATTAGAGGGAAATTTTTCAGTTTCTTATAATGCGTTAAATGTAAGATTTTAAAAAAAAATTTTTTGAAATAAGGTCTCGCTGTGCAGTTAAACTTACTATGTAGCCTAGGCCAGCCTTGACCTTGCAGCAATCCTGCCTCAGCCTCCCAAGTGCTGGGATTATAGGCATGCGCCATCATGCCTGGCAAGATTTTTTTTTTTGTATGGGGGATTGAACTTGGGTCCTTGTGCTTGTGAGGCAGGCACCAGAACCGCTGAGCTAAATTCCCAGCCCCGGCTTGAATTATTTGGAAGACAGCTTGTAAAGTTGGTATTACTCTTGTAATCGTTGTTTCCATTCATTTGGGCCTGGAGGTTCTTTTAGATGTTTAATTATGTATTTATTTAATTTAATAGATATAGAATTACTAAGAGTATTTCATATCAGATTGATTTTTATGGTTCTTTTCATTCAAAGAATTGTTCCATTTCATGTACATTTTCTGGTATGTTTGTAAGCATTATTCAAAATATTTCCTTTCTGGGCCGGGGATTTAGCTCAGTGGTTTCGCAGCCTCCTGCGCAAGCTCAAGGACTCGAGTTTGATCCCCGGTACCGGAAAAAAAAAAAAATTTCCTTTCTATCCTTTTGATGGTAGTAGGATCTGTACATATATGCACTATTTTCTTCCTAACATTGGAAAATGATCCATTCTCTTTTGGTCTTTGTAAACTCTTAACTGTTTTCTTTGTCATTTCAAGTTAATTGGGACTTTGTATCATACCGATTTTTCCCCTAGTCTCTTTTTATTTTTTGTTTGTATTATTTTTCGGTGCTGGGGATTGAACTCAGGGACTTATGCTGTTGCTAGGCAAGTGTGCTACCACTGAGCTACATTCGCACCCCACCTCCTCCATTTAAGAATTTTTTTACAGGATCTTGCTAAATTGTCCATTCTGGCCTCAAGCTTGTGTTTCTCTTCCTTTGGCCTCCTGCAGCAGGGATTATAGCGCAGCTGTGTGGGGCTTCTGTTATCGCTTCCTTTTTCACTAATTTTTGTTCTGATCTGTATTGTATCGTTTTTTCTGCTTGCATCGCTTGTATTGGTTGGCTCTTAATGATTTCTTGAGGTGGGTGTTTTCATTATTGTTTTAATGTTTTTTTCTATCATAAACTCTTAAGTTCTATAGATTTTTATCACGGCACTGTTAGCTTCATCCCACAAGGTTTTTTTTAAAATTAATTTTATTGGTACATTTTAGGTATACAATATAATGACATTCATCATTGGTATTCCACAAGTTTTAAAATGTTTTAATTATATTTCATTCAGTTCTGAAACTTCCTGTTTGTTTTGAGACTTCCTCTTTTTATGCATGAATTGTTTAGAAGCATGTTAATTTTCTAGTGTTTTTTTTCCTGCTCTTTGTTACTGGTTTCTAATTTGTTTCATATTGGCTCTATTGAAATTTTTTTGCGGGGGGCGGATAACGGAGATCGAACTCAGGACCTTGCACTTGTGAGGCAGGTGCTGGAACCATTGAGCTAAATCCCCAGCTCTATTGAAATTTTTTTCTTGACCCAGGATATGGTTTTTCCTCTTCTGTATGGTTGCTTGCTCTACTGGCACTAGGTAGAGTTTCTTTTCTTTTTTTTTTTTTCTTTTTTGGTGCTGGGGATCAGCTTGCAAGGCAGGCAGCGGAACCACTGAGCTAAATCCCCAGGCCCTAGGTAGAGTATCTACAAATGTCTGCATGAACCTGTTGGCTGGTGATATTATTCAGACATTCTACATCCTTGATGATTTTCTATGTTTTCTTTTTTTTCTTTTTTTTTTGTTTATTTACTGTACTGGAGGTTGAACCCAGGTCCTTTACACTGAGCTACATTCCCAGGGCTATTTTTGAGTTTTGTTTTGGTTTTGTTTTTTTGGTATTGGGATCGAACTCAGGACCTTGTGTTTTCGAGGCAGGTGTGGCACCTCTGAGCTAAACCCCCAGCCCACTATTTTATGTTTTGAGACAGGTTCTCACTAAGTCACTGAGTTGCCCAACTTGTGATCCTCCTGCCTGAGCCTCCCAGAGTGCTGGGATTATAGGCGTGTGCCACCGTATGTGGCTCTGTCCAGTATTTCTCTCAAATTGCCAAGAGAGGGGTGCTGCAGTCCCATATTTTAATTGTGGGATTATCTGTTCTTCCTTTAGGTTCCATCAGTTTTTCCTTCATAATTCACAGCTCAGCCTCCTGAATGCTGGGATTACAGGTTTGTGCCTGACCAAGGCTCTTTTTCGTAAATACTCATGTCGGGTTGCTAAGGCTTCTTGAGGTATTGACCTTTTATCACTTTTTAAAAATCACTTTAATATCCTGTTTTGGTCCTATAAATACTCTTGGCTCTGAACTATACTTTATCTGATGTCCATATAATCACTGTTACATTTTTTGGTTAAAGCTTTGCATACTTCATATTTTTTCATCATTGTCTCTATCATTGTATTTGAAGAATATGAGCAGCACATACTTAGGTCATGCATTTATATCCATTCTGTTTATTTGTATTTTAATGGCTATATTTTGACTACTTAAATTTAAATAAGTATTGATCTTTTAGCACTTACAGCTGCCATATTAAGATTTGATTTTAGTTTATGTTCCCTGTTTGTTGTTCTCATTTTTATTGTCATTTGTTTCTCCTTGTGAGTTACATTTCTGAAGAATCCATTTAATATATCTAGTTTTTTAGCATATCTTATTATTTTTGTAATATTGCTCTATGTATCACAATGCACACCTTATCGAAGTTTAAAGATATCACCAATTTAGCACTTTGATATCTAGAAACCTTAGTTGCATTAGGTCCTTTTTATGTATCAATTAATATAAATTTTTTCAATGTTTCCTTTTCACATGCTGAGCATCATTTTGTAAGGTGTAATTTTTGTTTCAAGCACATTTTACAGATGTCAGGAGACGTCTTGGGTTACCTCTACATTTACCTAGTTTACGCATTCCATTGTTCATTAGTCCTTCTTGAAATGGCATGCCTTCCGTGGTTCTCATTTTCTTTCTGATGATCTTCCTCTGGCCTTCCTTCTAGGGTAGGTCTGCTGGTGAGAGGTGCTTATTGCTTTTTTTCATCTAAAGATGTCCTTATATTCCCTTCATTCCTGAATGGTATTTTCGTTAGAGTCAGGGTTGTCTCTTCTTGCCAGTCATGTTTATTTCTTCTGTCCACCATGGTTTCTGATGAGAAATCTGCTGCTATTTGAACTGTTGTTTCCCTAGTTCATGATGTGCCATTTCCACCAAACTTTGTTTAAAATGTTTTTCTTTTTAATGTTTAGAGTTATGAAGTCTCTGACATGGAATTTTTAATCTTAATTTGCTATTCATTCATCTTCAGCTTTCTTATTTGTAGGTTTATGCTCTTTGGCAAATTTGGGAGATTTTTATCATTACTTCAAATATTTTTTCATCCTCATTCTTTCTGTTCTCTTACATGAACCTCAGTAACATGAATGGTAGAGCTTTTGTTATTGTCTGTAGGTCTCTCAGGCTCTTATTCTTTTTCCAATCTCTTTTTTCTTTTCTTCACATTAATTTCATTTGCTTTTCTTTGTGTTTGTGTTTGTTTGTTTGTTTTCCGGTACCAGGGATGGAACTCAGGACCTTGTGCTTTCCAGGCAGACGCGGTGCTCCTAAACTACATCCCTGGCCCTTCCTTGCTTTTCTTTACACTCAACTGATTTTGTTTGTTTGTTTTTGTTTTTTTGGTCATAGCTGATCTGCTGTTGAACTTGTGAGTTTTTCTTTTTGTTTTTGTATGTTTCAATGACTTAATTTCCATTTGGTTGTTTTTTATATCTTACACTTCTTTGCTAAGTTTATAATGCCAAAGGAGGACTTGAGAGAAATATACAAACCTGTGCATTCCAGTTGTGGGTTTTTTGGTTGTTTCTCTCACTGATTGAATAGAACTGCTAAATTACCTGGAGGAGTGGAAGTCCTATGATTTATATTGGGATCAACAAGTATTTCTATGACCTGATTTTATAGTTTAGAAAGATCTGCAGATTTTTCAGAGTTGTGTTCTTTAGGTAAGGTTTGTATATAAAATTCTCAGCACTCTAAGCATTGTTATATCTTTAATGAACGTAATCTCTCCTAGTCTCAAATTCCCCTTGCCTTTTGTGGCTGGACACATACTCCTCCTTTACCCATTCCTCTTTCATACTGTTTTTTTGTTTAGAAAGGGTTTCAATGTGTAGTACAGGCTGGTCTTGAGCTCACTGTGTAGCCCAGGTTGGCCTCAAATTCACAATTGATCCTTCTGCTTCAGCTTCCTGAGTGCTGGGATTACAGGTATGTGCCACCATGCCTAGCACACTTGTTTAATCTTTTTCTTATTAGCCCTCTTCTTAACCCATAATCTATTATAGGGGGGATTAATCCTTCAACTACCTAGAAAGGGGAACAGTGAGGGCTAAAGAAAAAAAGACACTTGAGACTTGTGTATTTTCAAAGTATATGGGGTGCTGGGGGGTCAGTGGCTTAGAGTGGGAAAAGACCAAGACTCTCCGAGCTGCCACTATTTAGGGGTGCACACAGTGACTGGAGGGAGCATGGGGTGACTTGGGGCAGCGCTGATCTCATGTCTGATCCTGTGCAGATGCAGACCTCATGCTGATGAGGGCGGAAAGGACAGCGTTCCCACCTCCGTAGGGGGTGAGCTGGGCTGATCTTTCTCTTCTGTGTCACCACTGGGTTCTCAACCAGGACGTCTCCGGCTGGTGTCACCTTGCTGTTGAGCACCGCAGCTCCACAGACCATTGAGGCCTCAGCTGTTACCGGAGGGATAGTGGAGTTATGTTTCTGCATTCCATAGCCGCTCTCAGGCAAGGCAACCTTGGGCCTCAGACAGTTACAGTCATACTTTAATTATGAGACGATTTTTCTCCAAAGTTTATGTAGAATGCTCCTGACAGTCTATAGGTGTACACACTCTTTAGCATCATCTTCAGCCTATTTCCATTCTGCTTGTCTGTCAAGCTCTGCCGTGCCTTTTCCTCTTCTTAGATGTGCCCTATGTTATTGTTCTGGGCACTGCTTATCCCCAGCGCTTACATTCCTTTCACTCCCAGACACTGCACAATGGCTTCTATCACTGGCGCTGATGTAGGCAGGTCTCTCTCTCAAGTATTCTTTTGATCCCTCAATTCCCATTTTGGACCTATATAGTGCTAACCACCTCTCCAACTTGAAGGTCCTTTCCTGGGTTCTATAAATTCCTTTTTTCTCTTTCTTCTCTATAGGGAAACCGTTTTATATCCCAGGATCTGTCATGCCCATTGCTTTTCTAATTCTGTTCCTCATGAATGGGTTGATAACCTTTCCTAGGCATTTTACTGTCAGTGTTCTGTAGTTTCCCTGAATCTTTTTCTTCAGGTTGAATGTTTCTTATGTCCATTGTCCACCAGTCATCCTGCTTTTTTTTTTTTTTTTTTTTTTTTGTACCAGGGATTGAACTCGGGACCTTGGCGTTTTCGAGGCAGGCGGCAATGGCACCACTGAGCTAAATCCCCGGCCCTATGGTAGGTACTGTTATTTCCCCCATTTTACAGGAGGATGAAGGAATTTGCTCAAGGTTGCACGTTTCTACACTTTGGCTTTAAGGAACTGGAGACCATGTAGGTGCCTGTAGCGTGGGTCTTTGTTCTCCTTGTCACCACTCATTTTTACTGTCATGGATGAAACAGTGTTCCTTTATCTGAAACCTATTAAAGGTTACAGCCTGGCTGGGGACTTAGCTCTGTGGTACTGTGTCTGCCTGGCAAGCACAAGGTCCTGAGTTCAATCCTTGGTTGCCCCCCCTCCCCCGAAAAAAAGGATACAGCTTGGCCATCCCTCCAAGCACATGAGATAAAGTAAACTCAGTCTCTTTTTTTTGGTACAGGGAATTGAGCTCAGGACCTTACAATTGGCAGGCAGACACAGTGCCACTGAGCTAGGTCCCTGGCGCAGGAAACCCAGTCTTTAATGACTGTATAATTTGTTGTGACTATGTAGAAGTCAGAGAATGTCTGGATTTGAGGAACTGGGGATGGGTAGGGAAGCCAGAGGAGTGAATAGTGGGAAACGACTCATGCATGTATTTGTTTCTGGGTATTGTGGTTGAGGTTCCTTAAAAACATCTTTGTAAATTCCCCACTGTTCTGCCTTATTGGTCAACATGGGTATACTGCGGCCCTCTCTCCTCTTCCTCTTATCACTCCCACATCCATCCCTGCCCCATTCTGTAGTCCACCTTTTGTTCCTTAGCAGACCCTCAGCACCTGTGTGTTTAGGTGAATCGCCATAACAGTGAGGTGTTTCTGTAATTGATGTGGCCCCCACATGTGTTCACCACAGAGCTGTGCATATAGTTTGCACCATATATGTCATGACTTTGAAGAGACTCTTCATGGACTTTTATGGACCAGTGTACAAGATTTTAAAACTCAGTGAGTGAGGGCTGGGGATTTAGCTCAGTGGTTTTGCCACCTGCTGTGCAAGCGCAAAGACCCAAGTTCAATCCCCGGTACCAAAAAAAAAAAAACAAACCTCAGCGAGTGGCTATGTCAGAGTCCTTAAGACAACCTTCAGGTTCGATGATTACCAGGAAAACTCACAGGACTCACCATATTGTCATACCAAATGGCTATGGTTTATTACAACTAAAGGGTATAATGCAAACTCAATGAAAGAAGAGTCTCATAGGATGAAATTAATGAACCACACACCGTTTTCTAGAGTCTTTTTTTGTGTGTGTTACCAGGGATCGAACTCAGGACCTTGTGCTTGTGAGGCAGGCGCGATGCCACTGAGCTAAATCCCCAGCCCTCTTCTGGAGTCTTAATGAAATGACTATGCTTAATTTAAGCTTCATCTGGGACTTGGAACAACACATGTGAGATGTCTAATGGGAAATCCCACTTGGTCCTCATTGCTGAGAGTTTGCACTGGGCATGCTCTCTAGCACACACAGTTCTAGACCTTGGGAAGGCTGACAGATGCCCACATAAGCCACATTGCTGAGAGGAACAACTTAAGTACAGGGAGCCAGTCACCCTCATTTTGGGGAACAGTATATAACCTGAAATCTAAGGTCCCAAGCTACAGCTAAAGGTGAAATTTGCAAGCTCAAAGGATAAGCAAACTCAAGCCAGCTGGATTATATCTTTTTCAAAGTGGTTTAGATGAGACAAGTGCCAAGTTCAAATTTCTTCAACATTAAGTAAACAATTATAGTACATAGAAGTAATCACACTGGAGGCTGTGTTCTGTACCTGTAAACTATTGGAAAACAGTCATTGTGGCAATTTTCCCCCCTGTGGCAATTCTTAATTCACTATCCAGGATTTAATCTGGTGGTGACAGTTCAGAGGAAGTCTGGAAAGAAAGGACCTTGCCTCAGCCTGGTATTATACATAGATATGTCCACAAGTGTTTTTACTTGGAAATTTAATGTTTTCCTTTATTTCTGTACAGATGCAATGGGAAGGTAGATGCTCTGTATTTCCATACACGTCAGTAATTTCGTTTGTACTCTTTGTACTGATATTGAAAGTTATAGCCTCTGTCTACAACAGAGATAATATGGGATTCATAATAATTCCTGTATCATTAAATATGGATAATTTGAGATTAAAGAATGTTGTTGAATGCTTAGTTACTTTCATGATCTGTTTGTGAGATTAACTTGGAGAGAGTAGGAGCAGCTAGTAACAAGAAGGCCTGTAGTTTAGGGGGTAAAAATTATGACTTTTCAAGATTTTTTTTTTAAATTAAGCTGCTTCTCCTACTCCCTCTTCAGAGTATAAACTACAACCACTTCCTCTCCTCAAATCAGAGAAAAGTGTTACTGTGGAAAGGGCAGGTGTCCAGACTCTTGTGTACGATGAGGAAAGAATTTGTAAGTGTGCACCCAGTAGCAAGTGGCAAGCTTACACACTTACTGAAGATCATGGGAAGTTGTGCTCAGGGCAAATCCATTCCAGCAGATACAGCACAGACAGAAAAATAGTTTCAGGGTAATAAAAGCACTGCACACAGGTCAAAGCACACGAATGTAGCAACAGCAGCAGCCTCTGATAAATCAAGTCTTCAGAAATTCAAAGATAGGCATCTCATGCCAGGAACCTCCCCCGAATCTCTAAGTGTTTTTGTTTTGTTTTGTTTTTGAAACAGGGTCTCCCTGTGTACTTTAGGCTGGCCTCCAACTCAAGGTGATCCTCCTGCCTCAGCCTCCTGAGTGCTGGATTTATAGACATGTACCACCACACCTGGCTGAATCTCTAGGTGTGATGACAGGAATGATGCACAGGGTGTTAAATCATCTTAGGGGCTTTCAACATGCATGCTTATGCAGAATTCACTCTGACCTTAATGTATGGCATGTAGCACATACTTATAAACTCTTGATGAGATAGGAGTACGTTGAAGGTGATTGAAGGTCAGGCTAGGAGAGTAAACATACATTCTTGCCTAGAGCATCAGCTGGATTTTTATTATTTTCTATCTTGGGACAATTGACAGAATAGCTGTATGGTCCTGTTTAGAATTAAATGGAAGGGAGTGACTTTCTGAGTTCCATTGTCTCTATCTGTACTAAAGGAAAGGACAGAAAAATGTGTCATAAAACAAGTGTATCCATTTGAAAGGAAATATGTGGATATTGGTGCTAAGAGGACATAGTCTGCTTTCCTTTCCATAAGAGAGAAGGAACTGGCCCTGAATCAAGGTCGGCAGTTTTCTGAAGCTGTTGGTTTCAAGCAGGAGCCTAAAGAGATGTCTTTCTATGGTCTGTTGGCCATTTCAGAACTTGGCAAATGGAACGATCAATTCATTAGAAAGAAACAGTACTAAACAAATTATACCCAGGCATGGTGGTGCACAGCTGTAATACCGGCACTTGGAAGGCTGAGGCAGGAGGATAGCTGCAGTTCGAGGCCAGCCTGGACTGCATTGTGAGACCCTGTCTCAAAAAGCAAACAAACAAAATCTTTATCTCTCTTTATAGTTTTACATTTATTTAAAAATATATATCAGCATCAAAAGTACAGACTTAAATTTTCTTTGTTTTATTTCATTTTAGAGTGAGATAAACACTTTTCAACTAAAAAAAGAAGAAGGAGCTGAGCATGGCCAAGCGATGAAAGAATGTGAAAGTTTCTTTGTCTTACTGTACCTTTTCCTTGCAATAAAAGCCCTTGCACAGGTGAGAGAGATCTGAGGCAGTAAGAGGTATCTATCCCCTTCTGGGCTACCTTTGAGTAATTTTTTTTCCTTTTCACCAGCCTCTCATGTTTCTTAGGGAGCAGCCTCCAGTACAGAGTGGCCAGGAACAGGGCCTCTAGAGACATGCGGAGCACTAGGGGAATCTTGGCTCTTGAAGTATGTCCAGCTTATCTCTCTTCAGACTCTAGGCCAAAGACAGCCTTTCTTCTGCATTGTGCAAAGCTGGGCTGCCTCTGGAGGTGCTCAGTGATATCGTGTGTCAGTCTTGAGGATTAAAGCTTAGTATTTGCTCACAGAGTTTTCTCATCACAAGCAAAAATCTGTTAGGGCCAGAGATTTAGCTCAGTGGTGCGATCCCTGCCTCACAAGTGCAAGGTCCTGAGTTCGATCCTGGTACTGGGGGGAAAAAGTCTGGTACACATCTTGCAGTTGAGTGGTTTCAGCTGTTTGTTCAATGGCCAGTTTATTTTGCCTCCTTTTGAGCAGTGTCAAGGAAATGGGCCTGGCATTGACTCTTTCTATCCTTGCTTTGATCTACAAGATAACTCCAAAAATTCGTATCCATGTTTTCTCCTAATTTGCAGATGTGCTATATTCAGCATATGTTTTGAGAAGTGCGACCTCACTAATCCTGTATACTGCCCATTTCAGAACTACCCAATTCCAAGTAGTAACAAAGGACTTTCCTCGGTGTACGCCTTTCATATGCAAACCAAACACTCCAGAACCTCAATCTTTCAACTACTTCTTTCATGAAAGTCTCACAAATGGAGGAACTGTCTCTGCCTTCACTAACCAGGACCAGATGTCAAGTAACTAGGGACAGTCTCTCCTGAAACTCTAGCCTACCCTAACCTGCTTAGATTCTTTATTTCGCACAATAAATACACTTGCGTTGCTTTCTTTGCACTCCTGTTTGTCCTTCCCCAACCTGGCCGAGTATGGCTTGACGTGTGCTCTTTTTCCTGAGAACTAGGAGGTATCTCTGCAAAGGCAACTGTCTCAGCAACTTTTGGCTTCACCATACTTGAATAATAAAATTGACCTTTTATAATAATATGCTTAAGTCGTTAATAAGGTGCTACATTTTAAGAGTTTAGTAAAGCAAATCAGGCATTTCCATGTAATTTCCAAAGCATAAGGCACAGTGCACAAAACAAGACAAATGACAGAACCATAGAGGGGCAGATCAATGCTCAGAGGGGCTGTTGAAGTGAAGTAGTGATTGAGAGAGTTCTCTGCTAGATAAAAGGGCCCCTGCCTACAGGAAACAGTCTCTCCAGAGAGAACAAAGACCTGCTTTTTACACACACACACACACACACACACTCGCCCTCAGCTGTAGCCAATCATCTGCCTCCCCTACACTCCCCCTAGCCCTCATAAACCGCACCCAGCCAGCCCCTGGCTGCTGTTCTCACCATCGTTCGAGACAGTCCGGCAGCTCTGTCCTTTAATAAAAGCTTTGCCTTGGGTGTTCGTGTTTCAGCTCATTTTATTTCTCTCATTATTGGTGCCGAACACCCGGGAGGGACATGATCGGGATTTTGCGATGATCCCCCCCACCGGTCGGGGTTGATTAGCCTCCCACCGTCCTCAGACCCTGCCGAGCCAACACCCAACCAGGGGCCCTCACTCCTGCCATCGCTGACGCTTAACATCCACACTGGCCTTCAGCTCCTGGGTGAGTACTCAGGTTAGCCCCGCTCTCGGGTGCCCTGCCTCTCAGTGTTCTCACTCAAAACATCTTAGCGCTAAGTCAGATGGACTCCTCTCTGCCCATGGCCAGGACTGCTGCCCCTGGGGGACGCCCCATTGGCTCGGATCCTCTCGGTCTCTCTCCAGAGATTGTCAAAGGGGACAAGGATGCTCCTCACTCTCGCGCTTCTCCTCCGGAGCTTTTCTGATACTCACCTTACATATCTGGCCTCCCTTTATTATGGGAGCTGCTCAATCCAAACCCCCATGATCAACCCCTCTGAGATGCCTATTGGCTAACTTTAAAACTCTCGGGCTCGCTGACGACACCAAGCCTAAATGGCTTCTTTCCTATTGCAACCAAGCGTGGCCTCTATATAGATTAGGTGACGATTCCGAATGGCCAGAAAATGGAACGTTCCACCCGAATGTTCTTCGGGACCTCCACTATTTCTGTCATCGCAATGGCAAAAGGTCTGAAGTCCCCTGTGTGCAGCCTTTCATCCACCTCCTCACGCGCCCTTCTCTTCGTCAGTCCTGCTCCACCCCTCAGATTCTCCTCGCTCACGCGGTTTCACCCCCACTTCCAGTCTCCGCTCAGAACCAGACCCGGCTCCCTTCGACCTGGCCGACTGCCCTCCACCCCGCCCTGCAATCCTTCTGCCTCATCGTCCTTGGGGCCCTCGGCCGCGCCGCGCTCTGCCTCCCCACACCGCTCACTCGCTCTCACCACCGCAAACCGCCCACACCTCCTGTTTCCCCTCCTCGCACCCGCGCCCGGTACCCAACCCTTCCAGCCCCCATCATGCCCCTCCGGGAGGTGGCGGGAATGGAAGGCGTTGTCAGAGTCTGCGTCCCTTTCTCCCTCACAGATCTTTGTCAGATTAAAAAGCGTCTTGGCTCTTTTTCCTCTGACCCTGACTCCTACATCAAAAAATTTCGTTACTTGACTCTGTCCTATGATCTGACTTGACACGACGTCTATATGATACTGACTTATCCCCAAGGACAAGGAAAGAGTTTGGACTGAGGCCCAGACCCCAACAGATGAATTTCATGCTGCTGGTAACACCAAGCCAGTGGGAGACAGGCCGTCCCCTGAGAAAACCCACTATGGAACTCTCAGCTAGGCCAGGCAGATAGAGGCCACAGAGACCATATGACTCTCTGCCGCATAGAAGGCTTAAAAAAGACAGCTCACAAGTCTGATAACTTTGATAAGATTAAAGAAATAACACAGACCCATGAAAAACCCGGCACAGTTTCTGTAGCGCCTCACTGAGGCCCTTCAAAAATACACCAAAATGGATCCTACCTCCCAGGTGGACATGATCATCATTAACACTCAGTTTATCTCTTAGTCAGCCCCTGATACTAAGAGAAAGCTAAAAAAGGCTGAAGAGGGTCAAAGAGGGCTTACACTCAGATTTTTTAAAAAAACTGAAAAGAGAAAATAAGTGCTGGATTAAAAACAGCTAGAAAAGCTCTGAAGAAGATAAAACAAAATAGTAAAAAAACCCAAAAAACAATCCACTCCTGGATTTAAGAGCCAAGGCCAGCACCATGTTATCAGCCTGATGCTGTTGTAAAGGTCTGGAATCAAAAACAAAGCCAGAAAACTACAGCTGTGCTCTACCAGACATCAAGAGATTTTACCAAAAAATCAAGTTACAAATTTTAGTTAACCGATAAATGTATTTGTTTCAAATTGAGTTGATGTTTAATTGGTGTGCTTAAGACATTTCTTGTGCATTGTAAATTCTTGAATTGCAATTATAGGGTTAACTTACTCTTTTCTGTACTTTGTTGATGAAAAACTCAAGGTTACTACTGTTTTATTGGCAGCCAGTTAAATTTTAAAATGTAACCATCTGAGAACAGAAAAAAAAGGGACACTTTAAAATTTTAACAGCTGAAGATGAGTTTGTTATAGAAGGTTTATAGTGAGACGGAGGAAAAATATTTAAAAAGCTGTAAGTACAGGAGATATACTTTTGTTTGTTTCTTTTTGTTTTTTGGTACTGGGGATTGAACTTGGGAACTTGTGCTTGTGCGGCAGGCACCGGAACCACTGAGCTAAATCCCCAGCCCAAGAGATATACTTTTGATATGAAAGGATTTTATATGTTTCTCTTGTTAAAAGGATAAAAAGAGATATACAAGACCAACAGGCCTAGGTACATTGAGAAGGTGTACAGAAGTGATTTATGAAGGAAATATGTATGTTTGCTTGTTGATTTCAAGCTTGTTATAAAAGGTTTACAGGCACAAAGAGCTTTCATTCCTTCTGATTCTAATTCTACATGTGATCTCTGTTAATTGACTTATAAAAAGTTTTGACTAGTCTTATTTATAATTGTAAACCTAAAAATTATAAAGAGATATTATAATTCAATTGGGCTAAATATATTTGAGTACACTCCAGTTTTATAAATTGTCTTTTATGTTTGTTTGTCCAATCCTACAGTTGTTTTGTTTATAGATAAAGGTTATTAAGTTCAAGACATGCTCCCCCCCTCAGGTTGCTAACAGATTAAAAGATGTAATACATATTGTTGTCTGAATATAATCACTCCAAAACTTTAATTGGTTACAAACAATGTAACAATCTTGTTTTTATAGGTTATTAAATAAACTTTGTCAAAGTAATTAAAGAGATTTAAAGAGGGTGCTATCAGGACTCCCCTTGGTGTGCAAAGGAGCAACCACATGGAAATATTTTCCACTTTGCTCACTAGGGGGACCGCAACAATTTTCAGTCTTTTTTTTGGTACCGGGGATCAAACTCCGGTCCTTCTGGTTTCGAGACAGGTGATGGAACCACTGAGCTAAATCCCCGGCCCTGTTTTCATAGTCTTACAACAGACTGACCTGATAGTTTTCATAGCCTTATAAAAGAATTACATCAGGGCTGGGGATTTGGCTCAGTGGTTCTGCTACCTACCTCGAAAGCGCAAAGTCCTGAGTTTGATCCCCGGTGCCAAGAAAAAAAAAAAAAGACTTACATCAATAAATATTACTTAAATATGTAATTGTACTATGTTTACATTGGTTGTCATGAAAGAGATAAATTCTAAATATGTTGTTATGATATGTTAACACTGGTCATTTTCAAAAGATTAAATTTCCTGTAAAAAAACCCAACCAAACAAAAAAGAACAATAACAAGGTTTTATTAAAAAGATGCTTTTGTACCAAAATGAATTAAAGGGCATAAGTTCTCATACATATAATTATGATAATTATTATTGTTAATTTTCTGGTGTATTAAGTGTATTTATGCTTCCTGACTGTACAGGTTTTCTAATATGTTGTTTATGATAATAACCTCTTTTTGATTCAGGTATTTGCCTTTTTATACACTCCAGCTATTTATGATAACAGGTACATTTATGGGCTGAGACATTTTCTTTAGATGGTATCCTATCAAAGATAACAATTGAGATAAAAATTTTTGGTGTTTTTTTTTTAAAAAAATGAGTATGCTTAACAATGGCTATTTTATACCAAGATGGACATTTAAATGTGTTGCAAAGATAAGGTCATCATGATTGTCATAAAATACTATTTATGGCTCTTGATTTAAAGTTCTTTTTTCTCTGTTAACATTTTACAGGAATTCAACTACTAGAACAATCATGATAATAACAGTCTTTTAACTATATTTTATATTTCAAAGTGCTTGATATCCAGATAAGATTATAATAGTTAAGTTTGATGGGAAAAAGTTTTAGACTGCTTAGTAGATTAATTATTAAAGTAGTTGTAGAAGCAAAATAGGTAGTGTATCCCTTTAAAAACTTGCCTTAGCCCATTGCTTTTGGTGTTTAAAGTGAAGGTTATATAGCTCCTTTGATCTGTAGGTCTACTATAGACAGCATCCTAACTCTGAAGAACACAGTTGCAATGCTTGGGCAAACTTGTGATATATGTGCCTTAACCGTCATGTGTTTAGGACTGTAATCAGTAACAGAAACCACCTGTGTCTAACCATTAAACAGGAATTGGAACTTTATTTACTTAACGAAGGCCACTAGGGATGAGATAATGACTAAAAAAGTATAAAAAGGTGACTAACAAAGAACGCAGGGTGGGGAAACTGACCAGACCAGTTTCTGGTGGTTCTGCCTGCTTGCAAGTAAATTTTTATTAATTTACCCAAATTCTGTGTCTCTTTGTATTTCTTTCCATGCTTTCCGGAACAAGTTCACTACTCCTATTGCAATGCTAATGTTACTGATCTTCTCTTCTTGGTGTTCAACAACTAGTTTGGAGACCAAAACTAAAAAGGTAACTGGGCTATGAGGACAGCCAATATTTTAGCCCTGGCCCCTCAAGGTCAACAAAGATCCAAGACATAAGGGAACCTTCTCTACAGGATCCTACCTCTTTGGTAAGTTACTCAACCTCCTGAGCAGGGAGATTGCTGGACACCAGAGGACAAATGTACAATGTGCCAAAGGGAGTCACCAAGAAAAAAAAAATCTCTACATGGTTAAGCAAGGCCATGACCCATCCTGATGGCTGACACTGACAGAGAAGCATAGAGGCTCTACACTTGGTTCCAAAGTAATGGCCTGAGGAGACTTAACTGGCCTTAATAGATAACAAGAAGTTCATATTAATTGACACAGGTCTCACTTTAACTTGGTCTTAAACATTCAGCAGAAAAAAAAATAACCAAAAGAGGTATAAAAATAACGACATAGTAATAAAGCTAGACACAAATATGGGGCTCCAATCACTGACCCCTTCTGGCAGTTTCCAGCTACACCAGTAGCTGACTGCAGCTATAGATCAGTAAAAACTATGGTAAAATCTATAAGAGCTCAGCTAGAGTTTTAATTTTCTCAGTGAGATTTGCTCTTCAAATTGTCTCTTCTTATAGCTAAAACTAGAGAGACTTATGACAAAGTATCAGACTCAGATAACCTTTATCAATGAAAAAAATCTAAGAGCCAACAGGTTACAATCACTCACTATTTCAAGATCTAAGTGTGACTTTCTCCCCCACCTGCCCTTCCATTCTAGTGTGCTCATGCTTAGATTTTTCCTGCTCTAATTTCTTTAAAAATCTTGTTTATTCATGCCTATAGGCTGCCAAATTCAAAGTGATCATACAGATAACATCAACAACAAATGTGCTAGACATTTTTTTTTTTACCAATATCCACCATGTTAACAAGTGTGCCCTTCCTGTACTCCCTTTCCCAATAGGAGCCAGAGTTCTGGCAGGAATAGGCACAGGGGTTGCAGTAATCTCAACATCAACACACTTCTATTACTCCCTATCCCAAGAGCTAAGTGAGGATATAAAAGGTAGCTGACTCTCTGGTCACCCTGCAGTCTCAAATCAATTCCCTGGCAGCTGTGATACTCCAAAATAGATGAGCTGTAGATATAATAACAGGAGAAAGAGGGGAAACATGTCTCCTCCTGGGGGAAAAGTGCTGTTATTTTGTCAATCAGTTTGGCATTGTGGGGTACAAGGTGAAGGAGCTCAGGGAGCATACAGAGAAACACAGATGAGACCTAGACCAGCTACACTCTCTACCAGGATACTTTGACCAATGGCTTCCCTGGCTTCTTCCTTTCCTGGGACCCCTCACTATCCTCTGCACAATCCTACTCTTTGGACCCTGCCTGTTTCATTGTTTTCAAAATTTCTTGCAGGAGCAGTTGGAGGTCTTTACCAATCAGACAGTCGGTGAACTCATTATGGCCAGTTATCAACCTTTTGCCACAGGAGACCACGCCATCATCACGTAGGACCCAGACCTGTTACCCTTTATCACTGCCTCTGTGCTCACAGGAAGCAGCTACAATAAAGAGACCTCTGCCCTTACTCCATAATAATATCAAGAGTCTGGAATGATAGAGTTCTCTGCTAGGTAAAATGGCCCTGAGAACCCTGCATCCTAAAATGGCCCCTACCTACAGGAAACAAGTCACCTCCTTTTTTCCACCTCGCCCCCAGCCGTAGCCAATCATCTGCCACTACCACACTCCCCCAGCCCTTATAAACCTCACCCAGCCAACCCCTGGTTGCTATTCTCGCCATTGTTCGAGACAGCCTGGCAGCTCTGCCCCTTAATAAAAGCTTTAGCTTGGGTGTTCACATTTTGGCTCATTTTATTTCTCTCAATGATAACCAGAAAAAGTGATACCTTGGTTGTCGAATGGTTCTAAAAATTGAACTTTCCACTACTTGAAAAGCAAAGTTAAAAAAAAAATCTGTTTGGTTTTGGTAACTTTGCTCCATAGTCAAACCGAAAATCCAATAGGCTGAGAGTGAGGCATGTGTCCTATCTCCCTGTGAACACAAAGGGTGTCATTTCGGTTTAAGCACCCCTCTTGCCCAGACTACAGGCAATACTTGTGTTAGTGCATTAAAACATTTGGCACTGTGTTTTTTGTTTTGGGGTTTTATTTGCACTTTATTTGTGTAAGATATTGTAAACATGGTCCAAAGAAAGGTAGTAATACCAGTGGTAAGGCCAAGAGGATAACTGAAAACCACAATGAAGAAAGAAATAATTGGAAAATTTGTTAAAGTACTGAAAAAATGAATTTGTAAGTAGTTTTTGGATCACAGAACCAATTACTTGGTTTTCCATTATTTCTTATGGGAAAATTATGTTTAGTTCTCAAGCTTTTCTGTGTTCGAACACAAATTTGGAACGAATTAAGTTTGAAAACCAAGGTATAAATGTAGTTTACAGACCACTGAATTAGTGGGGTCCCAGTGCCTGGGATTTTAGAAAAGTAGTTCTGGATGTCCTCCTCGTTGCCTGATACTTCTGAAAAGGGCCACACGTAAAGAGGGGCCAGATCATTTCTCCACTTCTTGTGACTTTTGGAGGAGGAAATGGCCTTTCTGTGTGCCATCTCCCAGGCCTGCCTAGATGATCTGTTTTCCGGCTTATCACCCTTTCACAGGCATCCTCAAGATTTTCCATTCTTATGCCTTAAGGCATGTTACTATTGCTCTTTCCCAGCTGTCAGGTAAATTGATGGTATGTTTCAAGTACTCTTCTCACTTTGATTGATGCAGTGACACCGTGCTTTATCTGTTTAGAGTGCCTTTTGTCTTTTGCTTTAGGTGTTATCAAAACAACTGCATTGCTGTCCCATCTGCATGATGTGTTGCAACTGTCTCTCCTCTGTCTCCAAACGCCCTTGCAGTGTTTATCTGTATCCCCTATGTAGAGATCTGGAAAAGACCCAAGGCAAGCTGGGAAGTCACACCCCTGTCCAAGGCCAGGCCCGATCATTTAATTACTTTAACCAAGGGAAATGTTTCCGTCAGCACAGCCTCGGTTTAATGTGGGCGAATGATAGAGTTTCTACCATTTATTTAAATTCACTGTAGGTCTGCCCATGCCCTACCCAGGTCCTGAGTCAAACAGAACACGCCGAATCAGGCCACTGCAGACTGACAGGTCTGTGCACGCCTTACTGAGGTCCTGAGTCGCGCGAAAGACGCCGAATCACCCCGCTGCAGACAGGCAGGTCTGCCCATGCCCTGCCGAGGTCCTGAGTAGCACAGAACACGCTGAATCAGCCCGCTGCAGACAGGCAGATTTGCCCACAGCCTACCGAGGTCCCCAGTCGCGCGGAATACGCCAAATCAGCCCGCTGCACAGAGGACAGTCTGTGCACGCCCTAACGAGGTCCCAAGTAGCGCGGGAGACACCGAATCACCCTGCTGCAGAAGGCAGCCACCTAGTTCCACGCTACAGGGGCGCAGAGGACACCAGACCACCAGACCAAGGTACTGAGTCCCGCTGTTCCCGGCCAAGAGGTAGGGGCTTCTGAGCCGCCTTCCCACTGCTCCTGGTCCAGAGGAAGGGGCTTCCCAGTCACCATCCCTCCCACTGCTCCCAGCCCAGAGGAAAGGGCTTTTGGGCCACCTTCTGTCCCACTGCTCCTGGCCCAGAGGAAGGGGCTTCCAGGC